GCAGGTGAGATGACAACGTGATCACATAGGGCTGCTAAATAGACAAATAGTTGACAATTTTTAATTATTTAACGGATTTTTTTTAATGAAGTAGTACTAAATAATATATTTTGAACAGTTGTTTACAAATTACAGGTATATATATGTACTTATTTATTGATCATTATTATTATACGAGATACCCCAGATCGAATATGGTACGTAAGATTCTACCTTTATTTATTGAAAGGTATTTAGGGCTCAATTCTAAATAAATGATGTTTGTTAACTTATTTTTTAGTTAAGTATTTAAATAACAACCATGATTATTTTCATTACATTTTTTAAATTGCCTAGAACCATGTGAGATTATTGAGTATGTGCAACCATAACTAAGGTGAATATCATGATTGTTTTCATTACATTTTTTAAATTGCTTAGCTAAAACATTAGAAAACACTTTACGATTGGTTTGTGTGATTTATAAAATCGCACGGTAAAAACAATTATTAAAACTATTACGGCGTTCCGTCCATGTTGTTTCAATTTGTTGTGTGGTTATTCATTGACCTAGGTAAAATGTATATTTTGCACTTTTTAATTTCTTTTTGACTTTATTTTATATTTTTTTAACAAAATTTAATCAATTAATAAATGAGTTATTGTCATTGTTGTCCAATAAACTATCGCTTTTGACCTCTGAATTTTATTTCTCATAGCGTGGATCTTCCCCAAACTCCAAAGTCTTAAAATCCAAGTCAATTACACAATTGCTCCATAAATGAAACCGTCAACCGATTTCTTTTATGACGTGACAATTACACAACAAGAAAATGCACATTTAGGGACGACAAAATGCGTCGCAAATAGTCAAGATTGTCGCCCTAAAGGTATTAGGGACGACAAATTGCGTCCCAAATAGTAATTACTATAATACTTGTAATTAAATTTTTTTATCAATGTGCATGGAAAATAATATCATTGTTAATTAAATAGATTTTCCTGGTTTTTTTCTATATCATCGACTCTTGTTTCTTTTTTCTCATTAATGTACGCTAGCTTGCGTCGATCTTGTGGAACATAAATTATAGTTGGGATTTTTTTTGTTGATGTCACTAGTACAAAAAGCTTTTGTTGATGCGGTTAAAATGATTTATTGATGCGGTTATTGAACCGCACCAATAAATATCGCATCAAAAAACACCCTTATTTAATGGTGCGGTTATAAAACCGCCCCAAAAAATGACCACAACCGCACCAAAAAACAAATTGTTTTTTCATAAAAAATCATGACAACCGCCTCATGAAATGCTACAACCACATTTTCATATCTTCTTTTGTAAACATTTGTGCTCTCTTTTGAGCTTTACATAACTCAACTATCATTGTGAGGATACTTCAAACTTCTGCTTCTTTATGCTTCCATAGCCTGCATGGTGAAACAATGGTTTGCTATGACTTATCCAACTTATACATATATAAAGTTTCACCAAAACACTAAAAAAATTCAAAAATTTAACTTACATGATTTGCAGTTAACAGGCTAGAACCAACATGATTATTCTTTGTAAACTTGTTAGCCATTCTCATCATAACTTCTAAAAACTATGGCAACAAACACAAAAGAAAACGATATCATTATACTTTCAACAACATTTGAGAAAATTAGGCAAGAAATAAAACTTACTAATGCAGATTTTATTCAACTACTTCAGGGTGTTAAGTTGCACATTAATTTGGGGCCTTGACATTTTTTGCACCCAGCGTTTCATAAGGACCGATCTAAATGAACATTAATCAATTAAAAGTTATTAGTTGAAACCCTAACTTAAGAAATCAGAATATCATACATAACTTAAGAAATTTTATGAATAAAAATTGCTAAAACAGAGTATGAGACACACATACCTTAGAGTCTTGGTGGTGGGTTGATGGCGATGGCAATGGACAACAAAGAAGCTAATAGTGGAGGTCGATGCCTCAAAGAGAAATCAGATTCACCACGTTGTTGACCTGAAGTCGTGAATCGACAATGATGGAGGGTGGGGTTGGCCGAAATCAGAATTGATGGGGATGGGGGTGACAGGACTCAACGATGGTGGTCATGGCGGCAGGAGTTGATGATGTTGTCAAATGAAATTAGGTTAAGAAATAGTATCGCACCGGAGAGAAAGGCATCGTGCGGGGAATGAAAATTTTGGAAGGGAAGACATTGCCCGGGAAACAAAATATTAGAATGGAATCCGTTTGGTTTAATGGTGCGGTCTTTGATCTAAACGCACCTATAAATCTTCTTTAATGGTGCGGTTTACATATATAGCACCAAAAAATAACTTTGTAAAATCATTTAATGCGGTTTCTACATAACCGCCCCAACAAATCGATTATTTGTTGCGGTTTTTGTTTTTTTTATGCTATGTGTATTTAATAATGCGGTTTTTAAATAAGACCGCACCAAAAAATAAAAATGGCATCGCACTATTAAATGAGTTATGTACTAGTGTGCAGGCAAATCGTGAGTGTTCATCCCTTTGTTTAAAAAAAAAATTCTTGATGTCACATCTCAATCTTGTTGTTATCTATTTGCAAGTTGATTTGAACTTCAAGGGAGTTTTTATGTGTTGGTTATTCTCATATTCAGTTGGAAACATTTCCTCTTTATTGATCATGACTTTGGTGGGGTGGATTTCATTGAATTTGTTTAAGTCAACTTGGAAGTTGACCTTGAATATAAGGATGAAATCAGTTGTATAAACAATAAAAATACTGAGGAATTCTTTAGTAAGTTATGTATTGTTGTAAAACCAAAGCTAGTAAAGGAGGAACAAAACCACAAGTTTGGTGAGGTTGGTGAAACTGATCATATTGTTGAAGTTCATTACATATTCAAAGATACTTTTGCATTTGAACATATATATATATATATATATATATATATATATATATATATATATATATATATATATATATATAGAGAGAGAGAGAGAGAGCTAGGTTCAAATGTTGATTGACATCTATTGTGTGGTCGTGTGGACAATGATATTCTGTGAGAATGACAAAGAAAATAAGTTGTTTGATAATATGAATACGTTCAATCTTACATAACTATTGTCATTAACACGCATTCTCACTAATTAAATCGTCTATTAGGTTATTATAGACTTTTTATTATTATTCTCATTCTGTCAGAATGTTGTCAGAATGTTTATTGAGTCGTATTCTGTCAGAATGAAAATGAGTGAAAAACGATGTTTGAGAACAAAAATGAATAAGAATTAGTGAGAATGCATGAAAATAACGATATTTTTGTAAGATTTAACGTATTCGCATTACTAAACAACTTATTATCTTAGTAATTCTCATAAAATAGCATTGTCCACACGTCCGCACAATAATTGTTCATCCACATTATAACCTAGCTCTATATATATATATATATATATATATATATATATATATACTAGCCGTTTACCAGCGCTAAGCGACGGGTATAGATAGTTTTTCAAAAATTAGTTTTTAGATGCGATTATTTCTTTTTGGATAAATACTCGAGTGTTTAGATGTTGTACGTTGTTGATATCGTAAGTACGAAAGTTAGTATCGTTCCCCTTTAGCAAACACACATTGCCCGATAGAAAAAGCCTTCGGCCCTTTGAAGGCATTTTGATTAACCTAAATAATAAAATATTATATTGTCGGTGTGGTTACAACTTACAAATCATATTTTTTGCCAAGGCGGTTAACCAAAAAACGAAAAAAAAACAATTCTATTATTTTTAAAGATAATGTTTATGGTTTTAGATATAATAATATATTATAATTTAAAAAATTAATCATTTTTAATTGACAAAAGACATTTTTAATTAAAAAATACTATATTAACTAATATTATTTTATGTGAAATCCAAACTACTTTTTTTTTTGAACCAGTAAAACAAATATATAATCTACTCCTAATAAACTAACACCTAATTTCACTTATGTTCACCACGGGACTTGAACCCTCGACCGCAAAGAAGAAGGACAGCACCTGATACCGCTGAGTTAGAAGTCAGTTGTCGTTTATATGAAATAAAAATTATCATGTTTCTTTTTAGTTGCCAATAAATGATCATATTAAACTATTTACTTGTAAACATTAATCCTTTCATGTTTTTTTAAAAGTAAAACCTTTCGATTATAGTTAGGGGTTATTGTTGATTATCTTTTAAAATGACTAAATTGTCATTTCTCTTTATTTCCACTGTTTGCTCTCTTCTTTTCAAAATGTTTCTCAAATTTTAATTTTTTTAGTTTTTTGCAAGATTATTATTTGTGAGGGTATATTAACTTTATTTTGGTAATTTATTATGGAATTTGATAATTATATATCAATACAATCAACAATAATTTTACATGTAAATAAAAATTTGGAGTTATTTATTTTTTGTTTATTAGTCAAATTAATTAAATTTTTAGTCAACAAACATGAGAAAGATTATGATTCAGATATATTTCAACTTCATTTACATTTTGAACTTTCCAAAATTATTCTACAAACCCTTTAAAGTTAATAGTTACTTGTACATTTTTTTTATCAAAATTGTACTAAAAAGAGTGAATATTAAGCGGGCGCATGCCATGTTTGCTCATTCTAATTTTATAGTTTGGATACATTTGATAGACGAATACCATGTTTGCCTATTCTAATTTTATAGTTTCGATGCATTTGATATTCAAATGTAATTTAAAGTGATGAATATGTATCAATTTTTTAATTTGGTATATATAATTCACACTCCTTGGTTTTCTTAGTTTTGAAGACACTGATTGAAACTCCAAGCAGACGTATGCATTTTTGTAAGATGGGTCAATTGACCGTAATACCCTTTACATGCATAAACATCATATAAATTCAATATATAAAGCATTTTCACAACCTTTGTTTTATAATGCATTTCATAACCCACTCAGAAAACCGTTTGAAAACATTTTATACTAAGATCAGAAATCTAGAAAAATGATAACAATACAATCACAATCTTGTCAACAAAAAATTGAATTTATGTCCTGTTTTATAAAAACAAACATGCATATCAATAAACTAATTTGTAAAAATTTACAAAACACGCCTACCTTTTACCGCAATATATATAAAAACAAACAAAAAAAAAGATACCAAATCTACCCCTGAAATGAATAAAACTCCTGACATGGTGTTAAACCAAGAAAATGAACTGTAAGCACAAATGCACACACATGTAGATTCCATTTCAAGCAAAAGGGAAGTAGGTCAAGAAGACAATGTTTTTTTTAATGGCAAAAATAATTCATTTCTTTTCTGTTTCTGTAAAAATCAAAAACAAATGTCAAAGTGCAATGCTATTAACAGGAAAACAAAAAAAAAAGAACAACAAACCAGAAACATGATCAGCTCCAGTTCATCAAAACAGTTGTTTGAGCCGATAAACTTGCTCTTTTAGGTTCCGAGGATTTTCCTTTCAATCTCGTTTTCATTTTGAAGCGATTTAGAAACCTAAAACCCTGGTTAAACATGTAGCAATGTGTAAACATTTTAAATTTTTAAAAGAAAATTTTACAACTTCTATGATTATGAAAATATTTATTAACAACCATAGCCAAAACACTTCCCAACAATAAATATATAACAATACTTATATGTATCTTTAAAGGTTATTATTCGAAAATCAGTGGCAACTTAAGTTGGGGCACTATTGTAAGCATCATCATCATCATCATTAGAAGACAAACATGTCATCTTTATTCCATTCTGTTACTTACATGATTACATCATACCAAACACAAATTTGGGGATATAAAAAATAGGGTAGCAGTGAGAGAATGCATGTTGTCATTGAACATGTGGGATGATCCATCCTTGTCTCATATCTATTTTCCCTCCCTTTTAAAGGACCATATAATGACTTTTTATTCTCAGAGTTGAATGTTACCAAACAGAAATTGAATCTTGCAACTTATGACATTCAAAACTATCCTTATGCTTAACCAATTAAAGGATAACCAACCGTTGTTTGTAGAGATGCATGTGATGCTATAGTTTGCCAGCCATTGTTAACACCAACTAATGGAGCTGAAAAAGTAAATATCAACAAAAAAAAAGTTTTAACTGTGAAAATGTTGATTTTGACAAAAAAAAAAAAAAAAAAAAGATATTCTGGGATGAAAAAATGGATATTTGTAGCAAAAATCTTTCATACCATCAACACTATTCCAAGGCAGCTATTACAGGGGGTGTGTCACACATTGCTTATCCATTCCAAGGGCATTATCTTTGTAATCAACTACTACAACCATTTTGATTTTTGACGTCTTCTTCCTTCGCCTCCTCTGGTTCTCTGTAAAAGAAGAAATCATATATTCTATGAGGTTTTATTTTTGGGCAAATTGCAACAGATATCAACAAATTGTCTATTTTACCGATATCAACAAAAATTTAATAAATAAATTACTTACGAACTTGTATACAACACAAATTTGATAATAAATAACATAATAAGTATATAAAAACTCTTAGAAAGAAAAAGTTTACCAGGGTGGAGATGCTATTTCATACTATATACCATTAAGTGTTCATCTATTTCCCAATTAAATTTAAAATTATGCCTTCAATATTGTAAAGTAATTATGATGATACTCGAACTAAAACATTAATGAACACGGGTAAATGTAATATATTAAGCTAATAATGCTTTCTACAAAGCTTACCACTTTCGACAGAAGCTGAAATAGACCTTTCATTTTTTACAGAAGCTAAAATAGAGAGCATGTTCCCATTTGTTGAGAGCTTAAACATGTACTTTTCAATTGCTTATCTCAGCACACATGATCACAAAGAACAAACCAAGCTACGGAAGGTCCATTACTTGAAAAGATAAATCTCAAACCTGTAAATGATAAGAAGATATAAAATAAACCCTTTAACAAAATAATGGATGCTAGTTCCATCAAGTCTTTTCCCAAAAAAAAAAAAGCAATAGAAGGAAGTCAAGTTTCAAACAAACTCTTAGCTGCTATAAAAAAGTCGCAATCCTCTTCATTCTAGTTAGTGGAAATGAACACAAAAGTGCCCAAAAATATTGATTTGCTTCCAAAAAAAACTATAAAATAAGACGACATAATAAGTGCTTTAAGCTCAATAAAGAAATTAACCAACATTTCCTTTTTCTAAAAAGAGTAGCAAACGTTAGAAAATAAACTAATAAAGAAATTGACCCACATTTGACTAAATAGAAGAACATCCTATTGAGTTTTGAAACATGAATTAAGTCAAATACACTCTTGAGTTTTTACCAGTGTGTAATCATCTAGTACACAAAAATAAATAAACATTTAAACAAAACCCAACAAAAAGTCGATTACGGTTGACCTTGACATGAAAACAAAAACATGTGGAAATGACAGCAAAAACGAAAAGATTAATATGTGATATTCATCTATACAAACTTACATGTGAATATGAAAATTTATCTTTTGCAACTTAAATGTAAATGTGAAATGTTAGCAAACAGGAAAGTTATTCTTCCTTAGAACCAACTTTCTCCTATCTGACATTCATCTTTTTCAGTTTACCTATTAATATGAAAATTTATCTCAATAATCTTATTTTTAAGAAATATTTATGTAAAAATAAGTTGACCTAACCATTGAAGAACCACCAAGGTCATAGCCATCAGATAAGCCATTGAATCGCAAAAACTCAGTGATCTAAATAAGCCAATTGCACACTCATAAACTCAGTGATCTAAGGCCCTGAACAGTACAAAGGTTTTTGCTTTTAGGACCTATAATCACACACAATTAGAGAAAGGGATAAGGTTTCTTTTGTAGAGAAGGATAAAGGGTTGACTATGCAACACCATTTTTTTTCTCTTGAACCTCCTCCGGGAGGTTTCCAATCACCCAATACCTCAACTTCTAAATTGTGGGGATTCCAAGGCAAAGACCTAATCAAAAAACTTATGCACATAGACAAAAATAAGAGGAAGATAAACAATTTTAAGGGTTTAAAATCATACATCTTGTAAGTCTCTGTGTGCTCGTAAATCTAGTGAATGTGGTGTCTAGGGTTTTTAAAGAGCAAACAAGGTGTTGTGCGATGGTAACTGAAGCAGATGAAGAGAAGAGAAAGAAGGTGATCAAAATCTTATGCGAAATCATACTTGGAGAGCCGTGACCGGAACAGAGGGTGGTGATGGTGGTGCGGACTTCGCCGGACCACCAGTTAACACCACCAGACCTTCAACCACTGGTTTCACTCTACGCCAACCATCACTCGCTATCACCTGTTATAGCTAAGCACCACCACAACCTCCATCTGTTCGAACAAGCATCACTCACCTTCATTATCTTGAACCTCAAAAAATGGTTGTGTGATATAACTTGAAGGTAGAAACTGAAACAAAATTTTAAGTTTAATCATAAGAAACCCCAAATTGATTACACAACTACAATCAAACCTAATGCAGGAATGAGATTCCTTTCACCAATGCGAGAGAGATCAAACCCACCAATGCTGATGAATAAAAACCCTAGACCGGGAAATCCTAATCGAAGAGAACACAAGAATAATAAAAGGCGAGAAGAGATGGTGTACCAGTCAAACATGAAATAAGAAATTCGATGGCGCGGGTTCACGGAAGTGGTGGTGCGAGGTTGGTCGACAGTTGGAGAGGGGTGTCTGTTGGTTGTCTTCGTTGATAGTAGTGGAAGCTCGATGGTGGCGGTGCTTGTTCTTGAATGACGGTGGTGTTTGGGGTATATGGGCAACCGTTTGGTAGTTGGTGCTTCTCGGTGAAGTGGTTTCAGGCGGTGGTGGTTGGAGATGGCGTGAGTGGTTGTGATGGTGAAGATATTCGGTCAATTGTGAAGGGGAGGATGATGAAATTGGAGGATCGTAAAATATAGGAGGAGGGTTCCAGGATAAAGGAGATATGGCCGAGATTAAGGGGAGTTTGGTATTGATCAATCCATTAAATCACGGGCTGTATAAGAACTCAACTCAATACCTTGACTTTTTCAGCTATTGCAATACCCATTCATCTTCTTTGACCACTTCAATTTGAAGATGAGAACGGAGACCTATTCAAAACGTCAAAACGTGCTTAATTCAATAATCTGTTCATCATATAAGATTCAGTGTTTTTCTAGTGCATTAAATGATTGTAAATATTTCAGTAAAGCTCCTACCTCTTAAAATTCAGCAAAACCTTGTAAATGCTTTTATATATATATATATATATATATATTATATATATATATAGATATATATATATATATAGGGAAGGGTTATTTGAAAAACAAAAAACCCTAAAAATACATAAAAAAAAATACCAAGACATCACAAAACTTTTTTTTGAATTTTTTTATCAAAAATCGTAGCATTTTTACAATTTCGCTGAAAAAAAAAAAAAAAAAAATTTTGTAAAAAAAAAATTTCAAAATTTTTTTTCAGCGATTTTGACCTAAAAGTTGCGATTTTTTTATAAAAAAATTTAAAAACAAGTTTTGTGATCTTTAAGTATTTTTTTTATGCATTTTAATGATTTTTAGGGTTTTTTGTTTTCAATAGAACCTAAACCTATATATATATATATATATATATATATATATATATCTATATATATATATATATATATATATATATATATTAGTATGAGATTTTATAACCCTAAACAGCTTAAACACATGTTATGTAACTACGATGTTAGCCAATAGGTACCAACTTTTTTGCAAAAAAGATAATCGTAGAAAGCGGTTGGCGATGTGTTGTGAGGTGAATTATTTTTAGGCTTTAGGATTCATTGATAAAGGGATGAACACTCTGTTCAAATTAAATCTTTGGAAAGTGAAGACAGTTATGCTAAGAACTTTAAATTACACTCAATTGTAATATATGTAAGGATTTGTAGTCATTGTATAAGGGAAATGTTAATGGAGAAAAAAATAAGCATTAGGCAACTCAGATAACTCAGATTGGAGGTTATAGAAACGTTTGGCATAGAGGTCAGTCTTAGGCGGTGTAAGAGGTGAAGAAAACATGCTTTGACATGTATAGAAGGTACTCTTATAGAACACTATGCACAACTATAGTCTTATTTTGAGGATATTAGAAGAACTAACCCAAGATCAACCGTGAAATTATATTTACTCACAATGTTATATGGGAAAAATTGTTTTAATAAGTTTTATGTTTGTTTTGGTAGAGTAAAAAAAGGGTGGATGGAAGGGTAAAGAAGGATAACAAAGCTTGATTGTTGCTTCTTATAAGGTATACGTACCAGAGAGTTTCTTTTTTTTATGGGAAGGAATGCAAATTATCAAATGTTTCTTATTGCTTGGGTTGTTGTTTGTATTAAAAATAAAGAGAACTGGAAGTGGTTCTTAGATTTGCTAGTTAATGATCTGCAGCTCTATAGTAGACATGGTGTCTTTCATGTCCGGCCAACATAAGGTACTAAACTTAATATTCATAGATACTCATATGAAAGTGTTTTACATATAAATATGCATTCAAAGTCTAAATAAAATCACTAAAATGACCAATATTATTAACTTCATTTATCATATTGGTCACCTTTTAGGAAAATAACAAAAATTAACATTATTTTCAAACCGTGCTCTATTTCGAGATACACTATGAGTTTTCAAAGAATCTTTTATGACATAAGTTGTTTCACAACTATTTTTTAACACGGAATGAGTTTGAAATACATTATTAGTTGGAAATAGCTTTTTATCATCAAATCTATTTTGAAATTTTACATTTTACGGAGAGTATGGAAATATATAATGAGTTCACATGATTGTGTTTATATCTATTTGTTGTGTTGTTTCTACTTTCTTTACCATAATTTCCTTTAACATTTTAAAAATGGTGACAAAAAAATCCATGTGTGAGGCCTTCTATCATTAGGTTGTTAACATATGATTCGCCATCCAACTAAGAAGATTGTCATCAAGGGAATACATATGACCTCAAACATCTAGCCCTAAATAGCCATTCACGATTCGGTTTACCTTTGTGCTAACGAGCAACTGGTAGAACTGGGAAACAACCCAAGTTGCCATCCAACAAAGAAGAAGTGGCATTTAGATGGAAGATCATAAAGAGGACATGAAACAATTTAGGTGTTCTAATTAGACAACAATGATTAAAAATCTCACATGTTAAGAAAACCCTAATTATGGGACATGTGTTTGGGTGGATGTGTCAGTCGCATGATTAGGGTTCATTTAAGATCTCACATTGTGAATTTGGTGATCATTTTGATAATTGCTAAAATTGATGGTTAGATTGTTAAATGTGATTAAGAATGGTGATTATTTTGTTGGATGTCAAAAAAAAAAAAGCATAGTTTGATGGATAATGACTTGAAAGGGTAATGGACTTTCGACTTTGTTCACATTTAGTCACTAAACTTTTTTTCATTATCTATTTGCCACTAAACTATTGAAATTGTTCACATTTTACCCTTATGACCGGTAACAACCGGTCATAACGGTAAAATATGAACAGTTTCAATAGTTCAGTGGCAAATAGATAAATTAAAAAAGTTTAGTGACTAAATGTGAACAAAGTTGAAAGTTCGTTTCCCTCTCAAAATTATCCTAATATTATACCCCGAAAAATGTATAAAAAATGAATTATTTCATCACGCTCCTTAAGTTGTTCCTAACTATTTCTAGTTATTAAAGGCTACCCAAAAAGTATTTTGTTTTTAGTTTATAAAGTTATATCAATTTAGTTTTGACCTTAGACACCTAATCTAACATTATTGGCTACCAATAGGGTATTTTGATTCTATATGAATATCGATGCTCAACTTCATGTTTAAGCTGATGCAAGTTAGCATGAAATCTTTATGAAGACGACGTCCTTAATGTAAATCCAATAGTTATTGACAATAGATTTAAAATTGATGTTGCTGCTTAGTTTCATTAAATTAACCCTAATTGATGTTGCTGCTTAGTTTAAAGTATTTTGTGTATGTTTAAAGTAAAAATATTTTGTGTATGTTTAAAGTATTTTTTTCATTAAAGAAGGAAAAAAATTCATGTTGCTGCTTAGTTTCATTAAATAAGATTGTATTTTAAAAATAAAATGGTATAATGTTGTTGGTTCCAGTTCAAAAAAAAAGATGTTGGTTAGTTGGACAGTTTCAGTTTATATTTAACTATGTGTGTATCATGTACAAAACTGGTCAAGAAAAACTATTTTGTGTATGTTTAAAGTAAAAATATCATATTATTCTTTATCATTTTTTCTTCTTTAATGAAAATAAGATGTTTTAAACTCACAGACAAATTAATATTATACCATTTTATTTTTAAAATACAATCGTTAAAAATGAAAAAAATAAATAAATAAATAAAAATTTCTAACTAAGAAGGGAGAATTCCTATAATAACTTTTTACATACGGGGTACTTTTGAAACTGTAATATAATATGGATCATTTATGTATCTATATATTTGACTGTATGTATGTGTTTGACCGTACGTATGTTTTCAACTATATGTGTATATGTTAACACAAGTTACATAAAAAAAATTAAAAAGAATAATAATATTAAAAATACTTCTAAATGTATGTTGTGTGTAATATGAAAATTTTGATATCCTTTTTAATAGTAAATATACTAATATGATGTATGTCAATAATATAACAACATATATAATGTATCAATCTATGTATGTATTCTTTTATAAACAACATATATGGTTTAATGTATGTCAATTATATGTTGCATAATTTTAGAACACAAAGTTCATACATATAATATTAGGATAATTTTTATACATATAATATTGCATAGTTTTATAACATAAAACTTATACATATAATATTGGTTTCGTTTCTCGTTTTTTTATACCTTTTTTTGGGGTATAATATTAGGATAATTTGAGAGGGAAACGAACGTTCAACTTTGTTCACATTTAGTCACTAAGCTTTTTTTCATTATCTATTTGCTACTGAACTATTGAAACTGTTTACATTTTAACCTTATGATCGGCTGTTACCGGTCATAACGGGTAAAATGTGAACAGTTTTAATAGTTTAGTGGCAAATAGATAATGAAAAAAAAATTAGTGACTAAATGTGAACAAAATCGAAAATTCATTACTCTTTCAAGTCATTATCCCTTTGATATATAACTAAGTCATCCAATGATTCTAATCATTTATATTATCACCTTTTAAAAAGGTATCGCTACGCAATGAACATAATAAAAGTAAAAGACGTGTAGTGGTTATCCTGATGATTACAAGTCCAACCTTTGTGGGTCAATCAATAGAAATGAATGAAACAAGAATGGCTAACGTCAGTCAATAGTATTTATTATTTAATATTTCCCTTGGCTTGACTAAATCAGACAAAAACTTGCAATTTGTATTTTCTAAATACTTATCAGATATTGACATAGCAACGAATACGCTTATATAAACTTATTAGATTTTCTTCTCTATCTATAATAATAATAATAATAATAATAACTTTTTCCGAAATCGAGAACACCAATAAAATAACAACCTTTTTCTTCTTTTTTTCTCTTAATATATATCTAAAAAACCTAGGAGCACGGCATGATGGAAGTCAACAAGTAACATAGAAACAGAAAAGATCCTTCCTACGCTAATATGCTATACACATTCAATCTAGATTCTTGAATAAACAATTAGTTATATAAAAAGTTTATTATTCATTTAAAGGCTAACCAATTTTAAAAACAAAAATCTAGTTTTTGTTCTATCTGGAGATAAATTGAATTTCTAAACAATAAAATATAGAAAGTCCTTCACTCTAAACATAAAAAGTTTTACACGTGTCATCATCTCGATATAAAACAGTGAAAGGTTAAATGCATGAAATATATAATAATTCAACAAATGTTTGTATCCTATTCCTATTTCCTAAGTTGTAGTGTTTTGTAGTCAAAAAAAAAAAAAAAAAAAAAGTGTTAGTGATGATGAGTAGGAGGATTGAGGGGTTGTTTGTTATAAAAGTGAGGTGCAGCTTCTCTCAACCATGAAGGATCAATGGAAATCACATTACGCATGTATTGACGATCCGTTGACACTAATGAATGATATATAACCCACTTTGGGTTCACCCTGCACAAGGCCAAAATCGTTAAAAAAAAATAGACATTAGGTGGTCAAATGTCGAAAGATATAACTTTTGGGTGTATTGTTGATTTACTCGATAGGACAAGGGCCGAAAATGAAAGTTTTTATTTATCTAACCTGAACAATACAGATGATGGATGAATGTAGACTTCTTGAGAACCCCTCAGCGTTTTGTACGTCCCATTATGACTGTATGCCTTCACAATGTTTAATTTTTTTTTTTTTTTTTAATTAAAACAACAAACTTTTCGTTTTAATTTTAATAAAATAGTTTATTAAATTTGCTAATTCACCTCTAAACGACACGCGTTAGCAAAAAATCCAGCTGTCACTGCCTTTCTTAGTACCTAAAAAACAACCAAAAATCACTGTAAATACTAAATTTTGTATGAATATACAGAAAAAATATATAATATATAATAAATAATAAATACCTGAATATCGTTTTGGCATGATTTTAAGGCTAACCCTAGTCTCTGTGCTACTCTTCTTAGCTGCTCTCTGACTTCCATTACTTTTTTCTGCAAAAAAAATAAAAAGTTAAATAAGATATATAAAAATAAAAGTTACTTTTATTGGAAAAATAATAGTATTGAGAATTGTAAGACTTTTGTTACCATTGCATGGTAATTAATGAAGTTTTTGTGACACCATTTTGATGATTTATTAGACTGAAGAAATCCCCTGTACACATTCAGGAATGTCACATGATCACCCTTCAAAAATCAACACAAAAAAATATTAAAACATTTACACAAAATAAATGAAAGTAAAGTATGTTGCTATTTATTTTTATCACTAAATTATAAGTCATATAACACACAACACACCTCTGATGCAGCAAATCTCAATTTGGCTTCATCCAGCTCCCTCTGCCCTTTGACCGATATCCATATTGACTAAAAAAAGTTTTATTTATTTTTATCAAAATTAAATAAATAAATAATCGTCACCAATGATTTCAAATACATAGAGACATGTTTATACACCTGAACAGAGAGAATAGCTGCAACAGTGATGATTTCTTCTGAACATTCAAGTTTGTCTGATGCTATAATCATTTTTGACACCATGGGATCCTAAAAAGTAAAAACAAACAAATTTATTGCATTTAGTGATGATGATGATGATGATGATGATGATGATGGATGACATACCAATGGAAGCTCAGCAACTTGGAAACCAACAGGTGAAGTGAGTTTAGCATCATCATCAAGAACTCCAAGTGAATATAAAACTTCAAGAGATCTCACCATTGCTTCAGCTGATGGTGATGCTGGCCAATCAAACCCTAATATATTGTCAATCCCCAATGCCTTCAACTGCCACGTCATCACAATGTAATAAATTGTCACCCAATTTTTTATTCATAAAAAAAAATTGCATATATTTATATATATGTGATACCTGAATAACAGTGGAAACAAGGTTTGATCTTTGCATCTCGGGAATCCCATTTGAAGACATCTCATTCACAAAATAATCTTCCGTATAAAGCCTGATAATTGTAATTAACTAATTATAATAAGTTATAAAAGATAATACCCATTTAAAAAAGGTTTTTAATTTCTTATATAAAAAAAAATGAACATTATTAAATATTTAAATGTATACCTGTAACACTTCCCTGGGCGTACTCTTCCAGCCCTTCCAGCTCTTTGCCTAGCAGATGCCTTGGATATTGGTGCCACTACAAGATTTTCTATATCTGTAATCTATCAACAAAAAAAAAAAAAAAAAACTATATATATATATTTTAAAAAAAATATATGTTTTATATTAATTATGAATAAACAGTATTAGAGGAAATACCGGGTTGTAGAAACGTTGTTTTGAGAAACCACTATCAACAACATAGACAATACCCTGCTCCAATAAATGTCTAAACCAATAAGAAAATATAATTTAGATGAAAATTTTATTATTATTTATATTATATAATAAAACATTTTGATCAAAAGTACCTCTAATGTAAGAGATGTTTCTGCAATATTTGTTGAGATTATCACCTTCCTTTTTCCTCTAGGGGAAGGGGAAAACACCAAGTCCTAAACATTGTGGGAATAATAATTTTAATTTTATATATATACAATTTATACAAATGTAAACCATACATAAAAATAAATAAAAAGAAAAAAAGGTAAAAAAGAAACCTGATTTGAACGAGTAAGTCCCGAATACAAAGGCAAAACAATCATTCCTGAAATTTAATTTAATAAAAAAAAATATATGTCAGAATAAGACTTGCTACTGTTTATTATAATTATAATTTATAAATAAATAAAAGTAGGTTGCTATTTAGTATTTACATACCAAAAGAAGACTTGTTGCCACTGTTTTGGGCTTGTTCTGTGATCATTTGAACTGCAGTGTCAATATCATCTTGCCCTGTTAAAAAGACAAGAATATCCCCCATTGGCTCCTACATGTTAAAAAGAAAATGTTATATGAAGTAATTAAAAGAAATGAATTATTAGATATTTTGTTTCAAATGTTGTGTAAAATAACAGGTGTAATGTAGTGTACCTTATCATGAATTGACATTACTGTTGAAACAGTAGCTTGAAGGTAGTCTGAAACAGGTTCCTCAATGTAAAAAATCTGTACATTATATCCTCTACCCTGAAATAATATATTTTGTAGGTGAATAAAAAATAATCATTTATGTTTTATTTTTTATTTTTTATAATATAATATTATAATATACCTCTACAGACAAAATAGCAGGTTCAGTCTGCAGTCTATTATCTTCTCCTTCCAACTGTGGCCTCCTTTTCCTGATGAATATAGTTATATAGCAATGTACTTTAATTAATGTCTTTATTATATTTATAAGTATTTAATTTTAACCCTTGAAAATTGAAATAAATGGTTATATTAATAGGAGAACCTGTTATGAAAAAACTCAGCCATTGATTTTGCTTCAATTGTGGCTGATGCTATAATCAGGCGCAACTCAGGCCTTCTGCGTTGTATCTGAGAAATCAAAAATAAAAAAATATATGAAAAAGAAATAATATTTCTTGCATTTCATAATAAATGAAAATGATACATGTTCTTTTAGTAAGTCATCAGAAAAAAAGATGTTGAATGATTAAGTGATACCTTTTTCAGGAGACCTAACAATATATCTGTTGAAAGGGATCTCTCGTGAGCTTCATCAACCATAATCACACTGAAATATAATTTCAATCATAAGAACAAACAAATAATTTGAAAAGATAACAAAGTAAAAAACAATAAATCAAAGATAAATATAAAGAACAATTGGTTATAAACAGCACCTGTACTTGCTTAAAAGAGGATCATCCATCATTTCTCTTAGTAATACTCCATCTGTTAGAAATTTGATCCTTGTTAACTCCTGTCAAAAAGATAAATAAAAGTTTGTTGTTGTTTCTTGTGTTTAGACCAAGGATTATTGCATAAATTGTATCATTTATTGAGCTTCAGATAAAGTCTTACTGAATTTGTAACATCTTCAAATCGAATAGTATAACCAACTTCTTCCCCAAGTTTGACTCCCATTTCTTCAGCCAATCTTGCAGCAACACTCTGAAAAAACATGAGATCAATTCAAAGTTGTAATTAGATGTAATTTTAGTGCAAATTTAATGAAATTGAAACTAAAGTATATGCATTAAAGGATAATAATGAACATTAAACAAAAAGAACTTTGATAATGAATGAATACCTGCACAGCTAACCTTCTTGGTTGAGTGCAAGCAATAATCCGACCACCATCAGCCCATCCTGCTTCCTTAAGGTACTGCAAGATGATATAAAATGCTTCAACAAAAGCCATTAAAGCTGAAAAGGGGAAAAAGCGCTACAAACCCTAACTACATAAACCTTCATAACAAGTACTACAAATACAGAGAGAGTAATCGGGATTACACTTGAAACAAAATCAGTGTCATATCTATAATGTCAATCAGAAAACCTGACATCAAAATTCATTGAAATTGTTTGATTTTCGCGAGTGAGACTGCATACAAACAGAAGAAAAAGGGATGGGGAACCTGAGGGATTTGAGTGGTTTTGCCACTCCCCGTTTCGCCGACGATTATGGTAGTGGAGTGAGTCTCCACCAGATATAAAATAGACGTTCTGTACTTGAATACAGGTAATCGCTGCCTCTGGCTCTCTAAGCTTGCATACCCAAATCTATTGATTCCAATTCGAAATTCAGAACATGTTCAGTTAAATCACAAAAGAAAAATCAACGTTCTGGTTTTGCATATGCAATAAATTCAAGAAAAAACACCAAGTTTTGATTCTGGTTTAGCGCCACAAATCAAATTGTTTGAATTATTGTTTCTGGGCAATAGAGTGAAACAGGAGGAACATACGAGGATGAGGAGGAGGAGGGAGCGGTGTAAAAAAGAACGCCGCCTTCTTCATCGTCGAGCAGGCGAGGCTTCGCAGTTCCTGGCTTCCAAAATTGCGCCATTTGAATTGATTGGAGAAGAACAAGAGCTTGAGTGGAGGTGTGGAGTGAACTGGTGCCCTATAATTTTCGTTCGAAAATTTTAAGATTTTGTTTTATATATAAGATTTTGTTTTATATATATATATATATATATATATATATATAAAATGATCCTTCCTCTATATAGGGTTGAGATCGGTTGAGATCGGTTGAGAACTCATAGTTTCTGGAGAACTAAAAGTGGATCGTTAGATCAAAACTAATTTATTAATGGCATGATCGTAATCATATCAATCTCATTTAATGTTTAATTTTTGTGTTATTGTAAATATTAATAGAATGTCTAAAAAATTACATAATAAATCAAATTTTCGGATTTTTTTAAAAATAGTATTTTTTTCAGTTTTTTTTAAAAGTGCAGATTTTTTAATTTTTTAAAGAAAACATGAATTTTTGAAAAAAAATATTTTTTTTTTAAAACTGCAATTTTTTTTAAAAGCATTTAAAATTCAATAGAATTAAAAAAAAATTAGAATATTTAAAAAATACTATAATTTTTTAACCAAAAAAATCAACACTTTTGGTACATTTATGCATATATGCATATTTCATATACTATAATATTTGTAAGGAAATCATAAGAAAACTCGTTTTATTTACTAATCTATAAACACAATACAATAAATATTTTATTCGATACAATATAAAATATAAAAAACAAAAAATGCTACAAAATTTCAAAGCATTTTCATGTCTCCGTGTCAATATTTTCATATTTTCTTCAATTTATCATTTTTCACATCTTCAATATTCACCATAATTTCTTACAAATCTACAATAAAATTAAAAAGACATTTATTGATGCAAAAACACTCACAAAAATACATATTAGATTTACATGCGAATCACATGTAATTCATATGTGAATTACATGTGAATCACATGTAATTCATATATATATGTGAATAACATGTGATTTAAATGTGAATCACATGTGATTCATATGTGAATTACATGTGATTTACATGTAATTCATATGTGGATTACATGTCATTTACATGTAATTCATATGTAGATTACATGTGAATCACATGTAATTCATATATATATATATATATATATATATATATATATGTGTGTGTGTGTGTGTGTGTGTGTGTGTGTGTGAATAACATGTGATTTAAATGTGAATCACATGTGATTCATATGTGAATTACATGTGATTTACATGTAATTCATATGTGGATTACATGTGATTTACATGTAATTCATATGTGGATTACATGTTATTTACATGTGTATCACATGTAATTTACATGTGAATCACATGTAATTCATATGTGAATAACATGTGATTTACATGTAATTCATATGTGATTTACATGTGAATCATATGTAATTTATATGTGAATTACATTTGAATCACTACACACTTATTGTCTTACATCTGAGTCCATAGGTGTTGCATACATGTCCTTAGGAGTTGATGTTGTTCCATAAGTCAAGATGTCTTGGGTTCCAATGCTCAATATTTCCTTGCTAATTTCATATAATCCTGTAATATGGGAATCCATGACAATAACCATACAAAAATAATATAAAGAAAAACAAAAAAATAGTGGTGAAGAAAGAACAATATATACCATATGCAACAGGTCATCAGTAAGATTCTTTCACAATGTGATCAGGTGCTATATCCAATAATATAATAAAATATCAACTTATTTCATGCCATTTGAAATAAAAGAACAACTTAATCAAGTCAAATGACTATTCTCAACTTCATAATTGATGTGAGAGTTAGACAATGATAATAGAATCACTGATCAATCTCAATCACGAATGAAGTATGAGAGACTCATGGAATCATCAGAAACAGATAATAAGATGGAATTGAACTCAAACATTCAAAATAAGTTAAATACATCATCAGTTCAGAATGTTACTCAAAAAGACGAATACAGAGAGCAATCAAATGTGATTTCAGAATCATCAGGAGTTCATCAAATTAACATGAAAAAAACCTCTTCATCTTCTTCTTCTTCAATGCTTGAGGCTGGAACTAAAAACCAGGAACATAATTCAACAGAAGTTAGTTCTCAGATTGAAGATAGACGAGAAGAAAAACAGGAAAGAATCAATCAGATGACCTCATTACAAGATCTAGGAACAACCAACCTTCATCATCACTGATTCCAACATCGCTGGTGTCAGGTTCGATGTGCTCGCTGCAATCGGTGCATCTTTTGTTCAGATGATACTCAATTTGTTCTTGAATTAGGGTTTCTTCTCGCAACTACTGCTGTTGTTCGATGAATTGACGAGACATGATGAAGCTCCAAACGAATTTCCAAACGCCTTTAGCCATGGATCCCTGGAAAACACCTTTCGCACCGATTGCTTCTCATTGCAGACGGCATAGGTCCACTTGTTGCAAAGGCATAAATCAAAGGTTACATTCAAAAATTAGACCGAGGCATTGGAATCGAACCTGAGTGGAATGGTCGGAAGTGGAATTGAACTTGTGAGTGGAGTCGCCTGGAGTAGATTCGCTGGTTGGAGTAGTTGCGGGATTCGCCGCCGAAGATAACAGATTCAACTTTTGAAGCTCTATTCACCATCAGCTAAGGAAATCGGCCTTCTAAGGTCGATTAAAGTCGCCAATTTCGTTTCAGATCGACCTGATCGGCGAGAATACAAGTGGAATCGACGTTCAACAGCATGTGATCAGATTCAGATTTTAGGATGACGATGTCCAGCACGTCGGTTGATTTCTGGAAGAAAGAAAGATGCTTGTCAAGATCAGATCGGAGGAGAGGATCTTTATATTTTTTTTGTTTCCAATATTGCCCTTGTCTATTTTAATTAAGATACCCCCAGCTCTTTAGTTTTCTACTTATTTACAAAAACGCCACCTTGCATCTTAGCCCTTCTTTTTTTTATCTAACGCTCCACTTTTAGTTCTCGGGTTCTCGGGAAACTATAGGTTCTCAAATGATCCTTCCTTTATATATATATATATATATATATATATATATATATAGAGAGAGAGAGAGAGAGAGAAAGAGAGAAAGTTATGTTCAAATGAGAACATTTTTTAGATTGAGAACATTTGAGAACATTTTTAGCTAATGAGTTCAAAAAACACGCGCCTTTGTTTTTCTAATTGCTTTCAGGGTATTTGGGTAAAACAAAATTAATTATATCCATATTTTTTTAAAAAATCTGATATCAATATCTCACACACATACATTCTCTCTCCCTACTCTCTCTCTCTATCTCTCTCTAGATCTGGACCACCAGACTATTATCGGAATCACTACAAAAACCATCGGACCATTGCCAGAACCGCCGTAACACCGCCGAAATCACCAGACCTGCACCTCTTCACTCTATCCAGATCTGCTTATTTGGCATCTCCCTCTACCTCTTACCTTGGAAACCACCCGACTGCCGCCTCTACACTCTCCAGATTTGTTTTTCACCACCTCCCACCATAGAAAACTAGGTACATCTACCTCCACTCTTCTCGAACCATCACCAGATCTTGCTTCACCAGCCACCGCCTTCGGATCTCGTCTTGCGGCCATCAGATCTCGTTTCGCTGGATCTCACCAGCCACTCATTAAATGTGATTTAAAGAAGGCGTCGCTGTAAGGGAGGATCATTCACCTGAATCATGGTTGAAATGATTAACGAAATTGAAGGCGTATCCATCAGCGAAGCTTCAAGGAGATGTTTAGAGGCAAAATCACTTGGATTAAGTTAACCATCGTCGTCACCGTCTCTGTTCCGTCGTTTATGTATCTACATCACACTATATGGTATACACACTAGACATCATCACGAAGAATTTAGTTGATCCAACTGCCTTTACAACGATTGGTGCCTGACCACGCTTGACTTGATAACAAGCTTCCTTATAGGGGTTTTGAACACGAAAAGCACTATCAATGCCATCTCGGAGAGTATGAGAAAGAGAATTTGAATCATGGTTGTGAATCGACGCACTCTCCGCTTCACAGCCGGATAGTGTAGTTGGTGGTGAGACCGTAGCTCTGGCGGTGTTCATCAGAGGGATGCATGATGCAGGTTTACAAAGCCTTTTCAGACTCCACTTGAGCGGTAACTTATTATGAAGCTTGAAGAAGTTGCTGCTCCTTACAGGAAGAAGAATAGCAGTGGAGGATTCGTACTTTGGAAAAGATAAGTAACTCCTTACAATTTTTACTTTTCAAAATTAGGTGTTATTCTTTACCTGATTAGTTGAATAAACACTAATTGTATTCATATATGTGTAATTATATGTTAAATAGGATCTGTGTGTGTGTTCAAGTCTTCACTTGACACTTAGCATCCTATACCATCCGTTCATCCAAACCACTCACTTCAGGTGAGTTCATACCCCTTAATCAACCTTTTAAATGATTTTAAATGCTTTTATGGGGGGGGGGGGAATACAAGTAGATACATTATAGTTATTATATCAATCACATGTGATTAATGACTATCAAAAATATGGATTTTCTTACTTTTCAAACAGTGTTATCAAACAAACTACTTCAAATGCTTATCAAACTCCTTTACATGTTAAATTCTTTATCAAACTTGTTTCTTTATGCCAAACTGCTTTGAAATCGTTTTATGAAATGACAACAAGTCATCAATGTTTATTTAAACTCTTCAAAGGGTTTTACAAAACTTCTTTGTCTTTTAAACTAATATATTTTGTTAAATGTGTATCTATTTAGATATAGTTATATAAGTGGGATTCAAAGGACTTAGGACTGATAACTCACCCTACCTCCTGTTCCTTGTTTGGTTGTGGTCTTAGGGTATCGGTTGTTTGTCCGAAGGTCGTTTGAATCTTAGTTATATATTATGTATATGTATATAGATACAAAAGTTCCTTCTTTCAGTCCAATACCTTTGGGTAGCAAAGGTATACAAACATGTTCATTTATACAAACAACATTGTTAGTAAACTATAATAGGTATAGTTTAGGAAGTTACAAATACTATTACTAGAACAATGAAACATACAATGAGTCAGTTCATTCATGAGTCATAACATGTAGTGATGAGAA